CCAACAGTTAAGAAAATAATTCTCATAATTATCTCTTTTCCACTTAAGGTAAAAGCAGCTGCAAAATATGTCGATGTTCCAGTAAGTATTTTTTATTTGCTTTTAAAAACTCTGTGTGTGTGTGTATGTGTGTGTATAATTCTTTTTAAAATAATTATGGTTTTATTTCAAATCTTTAAAGCATTGAGTGTCATTCCCTCAGGGAGCAGTTTATTTTCCTTAAGCAAGTGCTAACCCTCATAAGAAGGCTTGACGTGTGATTATTTCAGTGTACTTTTTCCATTTTAACTTGGGAACTTTTATGGAGTTCAGGTCATTACGAGAACATGTCAGCTCAGTTGCAGAGGGTCGTTCTAATACTCTAGGACTGGGTAGTGAATGCCTCATGCTATTTATAGAAAAATGCTCACTCTCTCTTCCCTTTGTATGGAAGCTGTAACAGGTTTCTTATAGGAGTTAAAGTGACAATAAAGATGAACCAATTAAAGAACTAGTTTTCTAAATACAAAAGTGTTATAAATCAATATGCACCTATTTTAGCATTTGGTGTTTTGCACAATGCTTGGGAAATAATTCGTAACCTGTAAATCTGTTCAAAGATTAGGATACCATGAGCTACAATTATAGAAAATTCACATGATAAATATAATCAACAAGTTAGTGCAGCATTTTTAAATTGATAATCCTAACAAATTACTTTTTGCCTTCATCCTATTATCACATAAGTGATGAAGGCCTAATACGTTCTGTTTAATCATATATCTTGGCATGTGTATCACTTTTCAAAGAATTTGAGCACAATGAAAATAAAACTTACAAATTAAAACTATAACGTAAGTCATCTCATCTTTGCTTAAGATTGTGCTTGGCTAGCATCCCATCTAGATTGTCATCATGAATGTCGGTGGTTTAAGGCCTGGCAAACTGTGTAGCAGTTGTAGATAGCTCTTACTTTTAAAATGCAGAACCAAATTTTATACTATGGACTAAATAGTCCCCAGATTTATTGCTTCCATAATTATTATAAATTGATAATTTTTCTTTTTTCATCATGATAAATGTACTCTTTAATCTGCATCCCCTACTTCTCCCATCCCCCCACCCACCTCCCCTCTGGTAACCATCTGTTTGTTCCCTGTAGTTAAGAGTATAAATGGATATTTTAAGTGACAAGGCCATGGACTTTCCTGCCTTTGCATAAGGTTTCTTTGGAACAAGGCTTTTTTATTTCACAAATGATTCCCAAAGAATTTTTTGTATACTCCTTGTCTTGTGCCTCGAATCAGAAAATCAGCACTGGGCAATAAGCAGAAATAATCACAGGTGTAGGGTCTTGCAAAATGACAGCACAAAAGAGAGAAAGGGAAAATTAAGGAGAGTTTATATTTCCTATCTTAAAAAGAAAGAGACAAATCATCATAGGAACACATGAAATTCATTGGAATTCCTAACATATTTTATAATACAGCTTTGTTTTTATTTTGAAATACAAGTGGAATGGGACACCATAAATATTTCTGTTCTTAGGGCTTTTGAAGTTTTGTTTTTTATTTTAAGATTTTTTTTAATCTATTTTTTTTAGAGCGAGCACGAGTGGGAGGGGCAGAGGGAGAGGGGGAGAGAATCTCAAGCAGACTCCACACTGAGTGGAGAAGCCCAACTCGGGGCTCAATCTCCTGACCCCTGAGATTATTACCTGAGCCAAAGCCAAGAGTTGGATGTTTAACCAACTGCACCACCCAGGCGCCCCAGGGATTTTGAAGTTCTTAATTTGACCATGTACTAGATCTGTTAGGCCTTATTATGGAGCTTCAGAGTTGATAGATGCAGAAGATAGTTCATTCATTCTCCTTCTCAATGCAGAAACTGCCTCTTCTGATATCCCTCACAAAGATTCATTCAGGCTCTTTTAATTTTCTCAATGATTGCAGGCTTACCATGAGGCAGCCTCCTCTTATGTGTAATGAGTTGAAATTCTGTACCTCTGTGAATTCTACCTTGGTTCTAATCCCTCTTCTGCATGATAGCCCTTCAAATATTTGATAATAATTAATCATGCCTCCTCTTCCCAAAGGATGTGGTGGCTATCCAAAGGGATATATTGTCTGAGGAATTCTTATTTTCTATATGAGACATCTTTAATTTCTTCACTGAACTCACTAATTAAATATTTATTTAAACACTAAGTGCTGGGTCCCGGGCTTAACATGATGAAACTATACATTGACTGCCCACAAGCCATTCAGTGTCTAGGATGAAAGAGTCAGAGAAATAGACATACATTAAAACTGCTATAGCAACTGTACCCAAGCTCTTTATCATGCCAGTCACCCTTCACTCTCCAGATGGGTTCAGCTTACCAGTGTCATTATTAAATCACGTAGCCCCACTGCCCCAGCAGAGTACACTAAACCATAGACATGGTCTGGTCATGGCAGATTACTAAGGGAGGAGTTTCTCCCTCAGATCTGGACATTATGCCTCTATTACTGATGCCTGTGAATATTCAACAGCCAGAAGTTGCTGTTGACTGTTAACTGGTTTTTATGCTAAGACCCCAGCAAATATGCCTCTCTAAAGCAGTCTTTTAAGGAGAACCTCATGAAGAAAAAGAACACTGGTTCGTCTTTCACAAAAACTAACTCAAAACTGATCAAAAACCTACCAGTAAAATGCAGATGATAAAACTTCTAGAAGAAAACATAGGAGGAAATATATGTGGTCTGGGGTTTGGTGATGAAGTTTTAGGTACAACACCAAAAACATCCATGAAAAACTATGTAAATTGGACTTAATAATTAACTACTTCTGCACTGTTAAGAGAATGAAAAGAGAAGCCAGAGACATATTTGGTAAAAAACTTGTATCTAACAAATACAGTGGCCTGAAGGGGCACATGTACCCCGATGTTTACAGCAGCAATGTCCACAACAGCCAAACTATGGAAAGAGCCCAGATGTTCATCAACAGATGATGAATGGATAAAGAAGATGTGTATGTATATATATAATGGAATATTATGCAGCCATCAAAAAATGAAATCTTGCCATTTGCAACAACGTGGATGGAACTAGAGGGTATTATGCTAAGTGAAATAAGTCAATCAGAGAAAGACAAGTATCATATGATCTCATTGATATGAGGAATTTGAGAAACAAAACAGGATCATAGGGGAAGGGAAGGAAAAATGAAACAAGATGAAACCAGAGAGGGGGACAAACCATAGGAGACTCTTAATCTCAGGAAACAAACTGAGGGTTGCTGGAGTGGAGGGGGGTGGGAGAGATGGGGTGGTTGGGTGATGGACACTGGGGAGGGTATGTGCTATGGTGAGCACTGTGAATTGTATAAGACTGATGAATCACAGACCTGTACCCCTGAAACAAATAATACATTATGTGTTAATAAAAAAAAGAACTTGTATCTAAAATGAACAGAGAACTCTTAATACTCAACAGTAAAAAAACAACCCAATTTGAAAAATGGCAAATAATCAGAATAGACACTATAACAAAGACATACAGTTATCACATAAACATATGAAAAGATGCTAATGTCATTTGTTGTTAGGGAAATACAAGTTAAAACAATGAGGTACCCCTACATACCGATTAGTGTGGCTAAAATTTAAATTTAAAAAAATTGACAATAGCAAGATGTCAACAAGGGACTCTCATCATTGCTCGTGCAAATGTATTATGGTACAGCCACTTTGGAAGACTGGCAGTTTGTTACAAAGCTAGACAGTCTTACCATGCAACCCATCAATTGCACTTCTAGGTATTTATCCAACTGATTTGAAAATGTACATCCACATCAAAACCTGCACACAAATATTCCTACCAAACTTATTCATAATCGCCAAAAATTGGAAGCAACCAAAATATCCTTCAATAGATGAATGAGACAATTGGAATAGTATCCAGAAAAAAAAAAAAAAAAAAGGAAAGAAAAAGAAATTAGCTAACAGGCCACACAAAGATATAGATGAATCTTAAAGGCCTATTGCCAAGTGAAGGAAGCCGGTCTGAGAAGGCTACATACTATATGATTCCATTTATGTCACCTTCTAGTACAGGCAGAACTATAAAGATTATAAAACAGATTAGCGGTTGCCATTAGTTCAAGGTCAGTGAAGCAACTAGGTGAAGCCCAGGAAACTTTTAGGAGCAGTGAAGCTATTCTGCGTAACACTGTAATGGTTACATGATATTATGTATTTGTACCTAACTTTACTGGGGCGCCTGGGTGGCTCAGTCGTTAAGCATCTGCCTTCAGCTCAGGTCATGATCCCGGGGTCCTGGGATCGAGTCCCGCATCAGGCTCCCTGCGCAGGGTGAAGCCTGCTTCTCCCTCTCCCACTCCCCCTGCTAGTGTTCCCTCTCTCACTGTGTCTCTCTCTGTCAAATAAATAAAATCTTAAAAAAAAAAAAATCTTACAGCAAAGATTGAACCTGAACATGGGCAAATGTTTAAAAGATCAATTAGGATATCATGGAATCCCATGACGGAAAAGAGATTGTGATTTTTTAAAAATCTAATTCTATTGCAAATATGTGGAATAACCTCACTGAAAAAGATGGAGGAAAAAGTGCTGATTTGAGTGACTTTAGAAATGACTGGAGTCTGTAATAATAAAGGAGAAGGGAACTGTACATAAGCATGGTGGTCTAGTTGATAAAGTGTTTCCCCACAGGCTAACAAGTCAGAAACCACTGTGCCTACCCACTGGAAGTGAACGATTAAGTTCAGGGACAGTGTTTGGTGAAAGCCAAGTTTCTCACTGTTGGAATAAGAGGTTGGAGACAAGGAGGAGGCTGGAATGGTCTTTGTGGTAATTGATTAGAGTTGGAGACATTAGTGTGAACTTGTCTTGAGCTTAACATAGAGCCGGTTACATGTAGAAATATTTATATATGCATATATTTCCTTGGCATGTTAACTGAAAGAACCCAGAAGCAACGATACCCCAGTAGCAACCACCACACCTAGTGCCCAGCCCTTAGTATCTGATCTCACGTAAAGTGAACCAGGACTCTTTGGAGAAATGGCAGATACTAGGTCTGGGGCAGCAAATATAT